TTTCTAGTGCACTTTTTTGTAAGCCATCATGTCATCTGCAGATAGATGCTTTTGTACTTTCCTTTCAAATATAGATAACTGCTTTTTTTCTCTTATTAGCCCTGCCTAGTATTTATGGAAATGTTGACTTAAAGTAGAGTAGTGTGGACACTTCCTTTTATTTTTCAAACTGAAGTCATTAAGCCTTAGGTCTTTTACCGTTAGTTAATGATACTATTGTAGGTTTGTTTATGCTTGTACCCTCTGTCAGTTTTGAGGAGTATTGTCTACCATTACTTTGGTTAAAGCATTCAGACAGATTAGCTGAATTTTGAAGGTATTGCCAAATGTTTTTCTTGATATTTCGAACTTAGGTTTTTATGTGTTACATTACACCAATTGATTTTCTATGTTAAACCAACTGCTATTCCGGATTAAACGCTTCGGTTGCATCATGTTTTATTATCTGATTTGCATTTGATCATGTGGATTGTTTGATTTGGTTAAATTTAATAATATTTACATAAGTATTTATCTGGCTCCTTTAAAGTTTAAGTTTGTCTTGTTTTATCTTTAATTTGCAAATTTTTAATTAGATGTGTCTTAGTGTAGTTATGTGGCAGGACAGGATCCTTTCGAAGGGCTTGGTTAAGTTTTTTTCAATCTGCAGGGTCATATCTGAATCCAATTTGAGAAATTCAGAATTATATGTTTAATCCTTCAGTCCCTCGAGCTTTCTCCTCTCTCGCTGTGACTCATATAGATATATTTTATATATTTTTGTTACTCCTTCAGGTTATTTTTTGCTTGCTTTTTCTTTTTTTTTTTCGGTTATATAGTCTTTATTGTTCAGATAGGTGAATATATTAATTCTGGTCCTAATCTTGTTACTTCTATCTTTCATTCCTAACTTTGCTTATTGAACTATCCCCCAAGTGGTTTTAAATTTATGTGAAAAAATATTTGTGTAATATCTATTTGGATATTTACAACATAACTTATTTTTTTGCGGAGATTTAATATTTTCACGTGGAATCAAAAAAAACTTGTTAATCTGCTTATGGGCATCCATTTTTGTTGATGCTTCAAAATCCTGTCAGAGATTCAATATGTGGATTTATATTTCATTTGGTATTAGTAGATTACTTCTTCTTTAAAATTGTGATTTTTCTGATCTCAAG